ATACCCTTTCATCTACCCATCCTTCGGCCATCTATCAAGCCATTATTTTTTGAGAATTTCAAAGAAGCTACAGATATTGGTATACTTCCCATAAATACTTTATCATGTACTTCATTAAATAGGAATCATATTGATTTATGAGTTTTTTCTTTTGAGATAAAATTTACATAAAATGAAATGTCTAAATCTTAAGTGTACATTTGCTACATTTTAACAAATGCATACACCTATGTAATAACCCAAATCCCTATCAAGCTATGGAATACTACCAACACACCAGAAAACTCCCTCATGCCCCTTCCCAGTCAATCCCTGCCCTCACTTCCACCACCACCACCACCCCTGGAAGTTACCACTATCCTAATTTTTATCTATCATAAATTGTTTGCTTATTTTAGAACTTTATATAAATGAAAGCATATAGTGTATACTATTTTGCATAAAGCTTTTTCCACTCAGCATATTTTTGAGCTTTATTCATATCAGTGCAGTTTGTTCCTTTTAATCCCTAAATGATATGCTATTGTATGAATACACTACAGTTCATTTGTGCATTTTTCCAATTGATAGCCATAACTATTACTGCAATTGCATTGTGGAGTAGCTAATGACATAAGAAATGCCTACGCTATTCTATTAAGAAAACATTTCATGATACAAAATTTATATGCAATATGATCCTAACTGTGTGAAGAAAATAATTTGTAGTAAATATGCTAAAATGTTAAAGTGAGCTTTGCTATGCTCTAAAACCTTGTTTTTATTAATTAGTTTTATATTATTTATTTTTACAAATAATTATAGATTCACAAGAAGTTGCAAAGGTAGTATAAAGAAGTCCTATACATTTCATCCGTTGTCCTCAATGATTACATCTTACATGACCTAGTACCATATTAAAACTAGAAAAACGTCATTGCTATAAATTGTGTGTGTGATTCAGAATAATTTTATCAGGTGTGTAAATTCATGTAATTATCACATGCAAGGTACAGAATTGTTCCATCCTCAAAGATGCAACCCTTTATAGCCACATTCATCTCCACCACCATCCCTAACCCTTTGCAATCACTAATCTGTGCTCCATCTCTATAATTTCATCATTTTGAGAATGTTACATAAGTGGAATCATGCAGTATGTGGCTTTTTGAGATTGGCATTTTTCACTCTGCATCATGATCTCGAGACCCATCAAAGTTATCAGGTGTATCTGTAGTCATTCCTTTTTACTGCTGAGTAGTATTCAACAGTATGGATAATCCCCCCCCCTCACACACACACACACACACACACAATTTTCAAAGTTCCTACTAAGCATGAAATATTTTAATTCTTAGGAAAAAAGAAAAGTATTGACAGGGGACGGGGAGTGCAATGCATAGAGAAGCAATTCATGCCTTCAAGGAAATATTGTGTTGAGGGATCCCTGGGTGGTGCAGCGGTTTGGCGCCTGCCTTTGGCCCAGGGCGCGATCCTGGAGACCCAGGATCGAATCCCACGTCGGGCTCCCTGCATGAAGCCTGCTTCTCCCTCTGCCTAGTCTCTGCCTCTCTCTATCTCTCTCTCTCTCTCTGTGATCACTATCATAAATAAATAAAAATTAAAAAAAACTTAAAAAAAGAAATATTGTGTTGAATTAAATAACAGAATTTTAGGTTTGGCAGTCACCTATGTAAGTTTTTCATTTTGCAGGTGTCCTCCTTGCAATATCCTGATAGGTAGTTGTGCAGCCTTTGTGTGGATATTCCTAGTGACAGAGAACTCACTATCAAATAAAGCAGCTCATTAAATTGATAACAAAATGTGCCTTTCTTCCTAGAGCCTACGCATGACTGAGAGAAGATCTTCTGTCATAAGTTATTTTTACCCTGCCTGGGGTCTCTTCCCTGTCTCCCCTAACCAGGTAAACACAAGCCCATGACAGTGAGCAAAGCCTGTAGAGTCTGAGCAAGCCGTTGGATATGCTAGATCCAGGAATGTCTTTTCTAGGGAGATTTCAGTATTCACTGGCTTAGAAAAGCAGGAGGCTGCAGACCTTTAAAAATGGAACAAAATTCTGCATGAGCACACACACAGATACCCACAGTCCCCTAAGAATAGTCTCCTTTCTGCATTGTAAGATGCCCCCCACCCAGAAGGCACTGATGCACTAATCCAAGAGGAAAGGTATCAGATTTTCTCCTGCTTCCAGTCCTTTGTAGTTGACCTAAGATCAATTTTCTTTCCCTTCAGCTTTCCTTGAGAGCAGACTCTGATCTGTCCATGGTTCTGATTGTTAATAGATTTCACTGGAAGGCAAGGCATGGGTTATTTCATTCATTCGTTTGTGATAACTAGCATTTATTGAGCACTTAATAAGTGCCAGAGACTGTGATATGCTCCTTATATTCAGCTTCTTTTTTATTTTTATTTATTTTTGATAGTCAGAGAGAGAGAGAGAGAGAGAGAGAGAGAGAGGCGGAGACACAGGCAGAGGGAGAAGCAGGCTCCATGCACCAGGAGCCCGACGTGGGATTCGATCCCGGGTCTCCAGGATCACGCCCTGGGCCAAAGGTAGGCGCTAAACCGCTGCGCCACCCAGGGATCCCCTCCCCACTCCTTTTGAAGGCCACAGGGAGAAGCCTTCTTTGCCTCTTCTAGCTTCTGGTGGTTCCAGATGTTCCTTGGCTTAGGGCTTCCTAACCCCAATCTCTACCTCTGTCTCCACAAGGCCTCCTCTTGCACCTTTTCTTCCCATTATTGATGACCTCCTTTTATTGGTCATTAAATTTAGGATCCACCTGGATAATCCACAATGATCTCATCTTAAGATCCTTAACTTAATTACATTTGCAAAGATCCTTTTTCCAAATAAGGTCACATTCATAGGTCCTGGGTGGACATATCTTTTATGGAATCATCATTCAACTGGGTACAGAGGTGAATCTCAGAAGCTGAAAGAGTTTAAATTGAGTTTAAACTTTAGTCCTCCAGTGAGTGATTACTTTTCAAAGCATAGAAGACTCTTGGCCCGCACAGACTTGCTCTCTCAGCACTGACTGTCCATGCGTCACTTCAAAGGTCATTCGGAGGAGGGAGTGTCTGCATTGTGCTTGCTGCAAGGCTAACTTGGGGCTGTGAGTTTAGCCAGCGACCTTGCTGCAACCTCAAACCCACCAGATCATTGATAGAGGTATTGCCACTGCTACTAAGGGGTCAAATAGTTTCCTTCTGAAAAATGACCTCCCCAAAGAGAGCTAGCTAGCTAGCTATTTGCTCTGCTGGTGACAAAAGGAAAAAGAAGGGATCCAAGAAAGTGCTGGTTCTTACCAAGGATGGTAGGCAGCCTTTACAATGTGTGTTCCCCAGTGAGCCCCCTCTTCTGGTTATTATGCCATTGTATCATCCCCTTCCCTCAGGCATGGGCTAGGGATACAATACAGTAAAAGTGTCAAGGTGTTATTTCGGAAATGTCTATGGCTTCTGTATTGTTCATCTTTTCTCACTCTCTAGATTTCTTGCTCTGAGGGAAGCCACCTCCTATGTCAACCTGCCCTGTGGGGAGGCCCATGTGGCAAGGAACTAATCTCTCCAGCCAATAGCCTACAAGAACCTGAGGTCCTTGGTCCAGCAGTCCTCAAGGAACTGAAGCCTGCCAACAAGCTTGTGTGTGAGCTTGGAAGTGGACCTTCTAAGGCCCACAAACAGCCATATGTGTGAGCTTGGAAGCTGACCTCCCTGCCCTAGTTGAGCTTTCTTATGACGCAGCTCTGGCCACCACTTTGTTTTATTGTTTTTGCTGTCGTTTTTCCTGGCCGACATTTTGGAGCCTGTGGAAGAAGATCCTGAACCAGATGCCCCCATCTAAGCTGTACCCAGATCTTCCCCGACAAAAACTGTGAGATAGTAAAACATTTGTCAGTTAAGCCACTAAGTTTTGGAGCAATTTGTTTTGCAGTGATAGATACACTCAGATATAAATTCCTAGGATATATTCAACCATGTGGAAGCCTCATGCTATTTACAAATTTGAGGATTCACAGATATTAGCTCATATCCTTTCTCAAGAACCTACAACATCTCCTCCCACTCCTTTTCCTTTTATATTTTAAGGAAACATAATATCAAACTATAGTGACAGTTACACTTTCTATTTTATTCTGCCTCCTGTGTTGTGAGCATTTCCAATCTCATTAACTATTCTTCAAAGCATTCTTTATTCCTAGCACCTCTTCAGCAGCCCCTTATAGGAGTGTACCCACGTTAATTTAGTCACTCCTCTCTCTTATGTTTTGAGCTTAAGGGAGGGTTTTAACTCCTTGGGTCATGTCTATTAGCACTTCCTGACCGCATCAAGCTGGGCTTACAGGAGGAGTATGAGGTAGGTAGAAGGCAGGATCATCTGTGTCTAAGTCTCCTGATGTCACATCAAGTCTGTACCACTTCCTAGGTATGTGTCCTTAGGCTTGTTGCTTAACACTCCTAGGCCTCAGTTTCCCCTCCTGAACAGTGGGAATAGTAACCACACCTACCTCACAGAGTTTTTAGAGGCATAACCTGGAGTTAATCCAAGTAAAACAGTACAGTATCTGATAAATTTTAGGGTATGTGGACACAAGCCAGACCACAATATCCTCACACACACACCCTGCTCCTCGTTGGGTCCTGGTCCATGGTACATTATATCAACTCTTGTCCCAGACTCCAGCTGACTTCCAATCAAAAGCACCTTGGCTTTCCTCCCATGAGTCCGCTCTCCAAGAACCTGTGGTGACCCTGGCTCTGGCTTCCTCCACAATCCTGCAACCATCACACCTGCTCTAGCTGTGTGGCCCTGGGCATGTCCATCCCGTCTCTGGGCCTCAGCTTCCTCATTTGCAATATGAGGAGAGGGCTAGATTGGGAGGCCCACGAAGGATTGCCCACCTCTAAACTCTAGACTATTCCCTCTTTTTTCAAAGGCTCTTCAGTTTCAACCGTGCAGAGTACAACCAGAGCTTTAAAGAACTGACCAAAGCAAAAAGAATTGGAAAACACTTTATTTGCTATAACATGTGTGCTGAGACGTGTCCTCAGCATCCTGGAGTGTATCAAATACTAGCATAGTGTTTGTTTACAGGTGTATGAAAATCTGGGTGATGAACTGGAGTTTCTCATCTCTGGTCCCTTATATAGAACTCAGTCCCCCATGCCCCCACCCCACCAGATACTGCTGCTGACCTCTAGCCTGGGAGAAGGAGGGGGCTCTTTGGGAATAGCCCTCAGAGCTGACCCTGGAGAATCTCCCAGAGGTCTTGGTATGGCTATGGGTGCCTCTCCTGCAGAAATCCCTGGGGAGACTGTTCCAGGCTTCTCTGCAAATCCAACCCACAGGTTCAGTTCCTTGGCACTGAAAGCACTGCTAGGGAAGAAAGAGTCCACTTCTGGGCTCCTGATTGGCCTCTCCCCACCCAGGCTTGAACTCTGGACTAGCCCCAGCTAGGGCGAGGTTTCAGGAACTGCAGGGCTCTGTGGCCCTGGGAATCACAAACCAGAAGAAAAAGCTCCTCCCCATGCCCAGCACTTAAACCTTCTCACACCAGCCCCCAATTTCTAGGACTTCAACTCCCAGGGTGCCTAGACCAGGAGATACTCCTAGGGTATCCCACCAGGAGGAGGAGGAGATGGTAGTATTTCAGGTCCAAAAAAAGGCTGTGTGACCTTGGGCACGTCACATGGCTTCTCTGGCCACTGTCTCCTTTATCTAAAAAGTAGAGTGATAATCCGGATTTTGAATGACCATGAAGTCAAAATAAGATAATGGCTGTGACAGGGCCTGGTAGAGTGCTGGGCAGCAGCGATGACTTTCTTTTCCTGGTGAAATGCCGGGTCAGCTGGTCAGCCAAGAAAGGCAACTGCCAATGGTAAGGGAGGAGATGCCTGTGTGCTGAGGCTGCCACTTCAGCCCAAGGAAGGGGCTAGCTCAGCTCCCAGGGATGCCTTAGAAGTGGACTTGAGCAGAGGAGAGCAGGGGGAAGGCCAAGAGTAGGTGGGGGCTGGGATCCACACCCAGCCCTTGTTGGTCTGCTGCCAATAACGCTGGTTTGTGCTCCCCACCCTCCAGGCAGGCCAGCCCCAGGGCAGCTGAGAGGCTGTCAGGGCCCAGCTTCCCTCTGGTGGGGTGCTCCATCACAGGGGGCTGTAGAGGGGAGGGTTGGGCTGAGGGGCTGGGCAGTAGAGTGTCGAGATTGCAGGAAGGCCTCAGCAGGCTGGAGCCAATGGGTGAGGCTGACTGGATGGGGCTAGGGGACAGTTGGGCAGGAGGTGCGGTGAGCTCAGTGGAGCTAAGTGACAGAGAGGGCAAAGGGGACAGGGGGAGGCTAGGTGAACTATGAGGCTGTGGGTCTGGAGAGAGCCGGTGAGCCAAGGGAGAAGAGACTGGGGTCTGAAACAGGCCCAGCTGCTCCTGGCAGCCATGTTGTCCGTGGGGCACAGGGTCCGGGGGCTGTTGGGTCTGGGCCCAGCGGCCAGGGGTCACTGGAGCCAACCAGGTGGCACAGTCCATCCGGCACCGGCACTCATGGGCATGCAGGGTCCGGCTCCACCACAGCAGCTCCGTCTGCAGGGCCTGGATCTCCTTCCGCAGCACATGGTTGTGTTTCTCCAGTGTCTCGTGCTGCTGGGGGAAGAAGCAGATGGGTGGGGAAAGGGATGTCAGCCAGCATCCAGAGCCCAGCATGAGTCCTGTCCCCTGTCTCCAGAGTCCTTAACTTAGGGGGAAAGATACTGCTGCCATCCAAATGTCTGAACTAGGGCCCCTTGACTCCTCTCTGGCCAACTCTGCACAACTACCCAGCCCACCCTGTCCATTCTACCCCTGAGGCCATTCTACCAGGCCATTCTACCAGGGCTCAGATTGGCCTGCTGTGCATCCTTGCCACCAGTTCCCTAAGCCAGCTGGTCTCTACCAAGCCAGCCAACTCCACTCACCTGAGAACCCCATCAGCCTCCTACCTGGGGTGCCTCTGAAACCACTCTGTTTTCTTGGCCCAGAGGAACCATTTGGCAATTATATCATCAACTGAACATTAAAGTCCTTTAAAGGCTTCCCCGCCTCCCTGGGCACAGCTGCCCCAGCTCACACCACCAGCTTGATCTCTCTGATTTCTCCAGCTCCCCTTAACTTTCTGTCCCTCAAATGAACTCTGCTTCCTCACCATATTTCCCATCTCCTCTGCCTGGACACTCTGCCAGCACCTTCTCCCCTGGCCTAATCCTGACCTTGTCATGGCAACTTAGAGGTCATTCTGTCTTGCACACCTCTAGGCTGCTTCATGCCACTATCAGACCTCCCCAGTGCCCAGAACTTATTCACTGAGGCACTGTGGGAGGAGCCCAGAGTAGTATTTCACAGGGTGGCAGCACTGGTATGTTCTATTTGGCACCCCTGAATCAGCATCTGGTAAGCTCTGTTCTTCTGGACTCCAGGTTCTGAGAACCCACTGAGAGTTAGCATGCAGCTCAAAACAACCATTTATACTGACAGCAATGAAAGAACTTTTTTTCCACAGCAACTAAGGCTGAATGACTTCCTCTGGTTCCCTTCCCAACCTCATCCCTTTTGTGGACAATTGTTATTTATTTTTTTATTTTTTTCATGTATTTGAGAAAGAGAGAGAGACTGCGTGTGTGCGTGTGTGGGTGGGTGGGGGGGCGCAGAAATGCAGTCTCAAGCTGACTCCTTGTCTAGCACAGGGCCCTAGACTCCAGGCTTCATGCGGGGCTCTGCCTCACAACCCATGAGATCATGGCCTGAGCCGAAACCAAGAGCCAGATGCTTATCTGACTGAGCCCTTCCAGGACAGTTTTTAAACAGAGAACCCACAAGGGTGTTTTACGTAAAAATGTTGCTTAGGGCATGAACTCAAAGTTCTTTTTTTTTTTAACTCAAAGTTCTAACAGGCCTCAAAGCCACTAGCAGCCCAACTTCCAGGCTGATCTCTGCAAGGGAAATGATGTTTTTAAAACATTATCAGTAGGTCACCAATCACCTAAATTTTCCAAAGGCTTCAATTTACCTGTAGAAACGGAATCACTTGATGGTTCCCTCCTTCATTCATTTGCCACCTCCAGGCTGCTCACAGATCACCTCCTCAGGGAAGGCCTCCCCAGTTAGGTTTCCATCACTCCCCCCTCCCTTGCCTCGTCCCTGCTGCATTTTGGCCCCACACCACTTATCACCAGCTGACATTCCCCAATCCCTCATGGATAATTTATTTGTCTGTCTGGCTCCCCAATGAAAATACAAGCCCTAGAGAGTGTGGGGTAGGCTTTTGTCTGCTGCGTTCACAGATGTATCACGGATGCTTAGAACTGTACCTGTCACACAGGAGACACTCAATAGGCCCTTTCCAGAAGGAATGAACACATGAATGCATGAAGTCTCTACCCCTGTCAGGCAGGCATTATCCTGGTCCTCACTCATACAGTGTACTAGGTGCTGCTTCCTTGTGTCCAGGCCAACCCTACTTCATTTGCTGGCAATCCTTTTTCTTACCTTCAATCGTTTGGAAAACTCCTATGCATCCTTCAAGACCAGCTCAGACTCCCTCTCTGTCATCACTCTGATGCCACTACCTGTGTGTTGCCCCACCTATGTGCTCCTAGAGCACTTTCTTTTGACACCAGCATCTGCTCCACAGGGCATGACTGAGTTCCTTCTCTTTTTTGGGCACTGTTTCAGGTGATGGGGAAAAGGAAAGAGCAGGAGCAGATAGTTCCCTGACTTCATGGCACTTCCAGTCCGGGAGGAAGACAAGCAACGGACCTCTACACATGTAATCAAAGTTCAGGCCTAAGAAGAAAAGTAGAGCAGAGTAATAAGTACCCAGCTCTTTAGATCACGTGGCTTAGAAAGGCACTTCTGCAGAGGTAATGTTTAAACCAAACAGCTGGAAAGAAGGGAGGATCTAGCCAGACTGTGGTCTGAGGATAGAGGGAAGAGTCTCTGCAGAGGCCCTGGGCTGGATGTGCTTGCTCAGTGAAAGAACAGGGAGAAGAGGATGTGGGCCGTTAGGGGAGGAGGGTGGATGGGGGGCCTCGCAGACAGCGCAGAGCCTTAGGCATGGAGGGCTGGGAATTTCACTCATAAGCTAAGGCACTAAGGCGTATGCAGCCTTCCCAAGGGCCAGGTCCTAAGCCCAGCTCTTAATCCTTTCCCTGGGATGGAACCAGTGATGTCCTTTCTCTCTGCCCAGAGGAAGAAGAAAAGCTCCAAGGGTCAGGTTACCATCCAAGGTCAAGTTACCATCCAAGGTTAAGAGGCAAGTATAGGGGATCCCTGGGTGGCGCAGCGGTTTGGTGCCTGCCTTTGGCCCAGGGCGCGATCCTGGAGACCCGGGATCAAATCCCACATCAGGCTCCTGGTGCATGGAGCCTGCTTCTCCCTCTGCCTGAGTCTCTGCCTCTCTCTCTCTCTCTCTCTCTCTCTCTCTCTCTCTCTGTGTGTGTGTGTGTGACTATCATAAATAAATTTTAAAAATTAAAAAAAAAAGAGGCAAGTATAGTGGAGCCCTCCTGCGCCCCCACTGGGCTCTTTTACCTCCTTTAGCCTCCATGAGGGTCCTTCCAGTGGGCAAGGATTATTGTTCTGGTTGTTTGGATGAGGACAGTGAAGCTCAGCGAAGGAAGTGACTTGTAGCTACAAGTGCCACAGCTGGGACTCTAAAGCCAGCCCATCTTAACCTGAACCAGTTTCTCATAGGGTGCGTGCTTGTCTCCTCTCCCTAGATCTGGGGCGCCTCAAGTACAGGGCTGGGCCACAGACACACCTCTGTGTCCCCAGAACCCAGTGCATGTCAGCACCTCTCTCAAACTCAGGTGACCTGAAACATACAGCAATGGAGGGGGAGCTGCTCACATGGAATTAGGGATGGAGAAGAGGGGACCAGGCCAGGTAAGGGGAGACAGGGTAGGGAAAGGACCCCACCTGGTGCAGGGCATCTGCCTTGTCTGTGTGCTTCTGCCGGCTGCGCTGGGCGGCTGCGCGGTTCTTTTGTTTCTTCTTCAGCCTCTGATGCTCCTCAGGGTCCTGCAGGGTGTGAGGCAGAGGGCTCAGGGGTCCTGGCAGGTGCTTGCACCGTATTTCCAAGCCATCTGTAAAGCTACACCCTTCCCAGTTCAATTCCCTGAAGGTCTCCTTTCTCCTAGAGGTCTCCTCTGGTGGCTCCCTGGGCACCCACATGCAGCATCGCTCGCGTGGCACACCTTTGTGGAAACACCTGCCTCACCCACACGTCCTGCTTACAGCTCATGATGGGGAAGGACAAAGCCTCAATGGGAACGCAGACAGAACTGACTTGACACCCACACTCTCCTTAGCAGCCATCTGGCTCTGGGAAAATTACTCCCTTCTCTGAGCCCAGCTGCCTCATCTGTACAGAGAGGCACTGGTGCCTTCCTCACGGGCCATAAAGCAGCCACGAGCTTATCATTAAGGGTAGGGCCATGGTCTGGTTCAGCTCCATGAGCCCGTGCTCAGCTCTGACCCAAAGCTGATATTCAGTTACTCAATGAATATTTATTCAGCAACTACTATGTGCCAGGTGCTGAGCTAAGGGGACAGAAGAGCAAATAAAACAGGCAAAAATGCATGAGCGGACTCAGAGCTTCCCAGCAGTGCCCTCCCGATTCCCTGGACCCCACATTAGGAGATCCATGAAACTTACACAAAATATTTAACCTAAATGCCCAAAGTTTTGGAAGGTCAGGCAAGAGAGAATGTTGGAGACCCCACAGTCCAAATCCCCCTCCTCTATGTCACTCTGGGGCTGTATTCTGACTGTAGGGAGCTCAGGCAAGACCTTGCCCTCCCTGGCTGAAAACCCTATGCTGCTCATGGTCACAACAGGCCCATTCCAGGTGCTGGAAGTGCCAAGACACTAAAGCCTGGGGGAAAGACTTGCAGTGGATAGCAAGGGGTGGGCTTCTGGTCCTTGGGTCCTAGATGAGGAGCAGGGCCTCCAAGGGGAGCCAAGATGGAGAATTTGGGGAGGGGAGAGAATGCTCCCATAAGGGCAATGCAGGAAGGGTTAGGGTGAGGAGACACATTATTCAGGAGGCTGCATTCTAACTGGCGGCTGGCTATGCAATTTGAGAGCCAGAAAGCCCTCATTTCAATCACCTGGAGAAACTGAAGCCCAGAAAGGGGGTATGTGGAGCCCACGATCACACCGCCTCTATGTACAGAGCAGGGACTAGAAGCTCTGACCACATCCCTCCCTGCCTGGGAACTGGGGATATTTGGCCCCTTCTCATCCCCTGTCCCTGGTTCCCTGTACTCACTGTCCTGGGCAGAAGCTCATTGTCCCTGCAGAGGTGCATGGCTCAGGCAGGGTGTGGGCAGAGGCTTGATTCAGGTATCCCTCTGTCACTGTGACCTCCCAATGCCCTCTGGGGGCCCAAGGAAGTGGCAGCTCTTTTAAATCCCTGGTGACCACTCCGCCCCCAGCAAACCCAGTTTCAGTTTCTTCTAAAGCCACTGGCTGCTCAGAATCCCTGGCTCGGGTTGGCTCACGTGGCTGGAATTTCCTAACACGAACTGGCCTTCCGGTTGGGCCCCTTCTCTGAAAGGAGAACAACAAGGGAGAATGGCCAGGGGAGGGGAGACCAAAATCCTGTTACCAGGAGGGTGTTCTGGGGGAGGGAGGGCAGGCTGCCAGGTGCAGAGCCAAGAGGCAAAGCTGATGGGAAACCCAGGGCTCATGTGGGACATGGGAGAGCCTCTGGGCTCTGGAATTATAGGAATCCAGGTTCACAGCCCATCTCTGGCCCGTTGGAGCTGTGCTGTTTTGAGAATGTGATTCAACCTGAGTCTTAGTTTCCTCATCTCTGAAGGATGTAGGGGGATGGCACAAATATCTACTCACAGCTTCATGTAGGAACCAAGCAAGATAATACAACCACCTCCAAACCCTCTGAGCCCATGTTGAGGCAAGTGTGCAAAAATAAGCAATGCCCCTTAAATAGGAGAACAGATGGATAAATTACTGTGTTTTCATTCAACAGACCACGCAGCAGTAGAGAGAGTGATGTCTAGCAGTTAGGAGAACAGCTTCCAAGCTATGTGACTTGGGTACATAATTTCACCTTTCTATGCCTTTGTTTTCAAATCTATAAAGTGGGGATGAAAATAATTCTGTCGTGAACATGAAGTTAGTTGAGCAGGCAAGGCACTTGCAACTATGCCTGGTGCAAAATAAAAGTTCAACAAACAGGGGCGCCTGGGTGGCTGCAGTCTAGACCTGCAAAGGGCTCAGGTCACAATCCCAGTGTTCTGAGGTGGAGCCCTGCATTGGCTTCCCTGCCCAGCGAAGAGTCAGTTTCTACCTTTCCCTCTGCTGCTCACCCTGCTTATGTTCTCTCTCTCTCGAATGAATAAATTAAAAAAAAAAAGAATTCAACAAATATTTGCAATTTTGATCTGGTGGGCAATTCAAAGGTGCACTTAGCATCATGCCTGAGAGTCTGTCATGTCCAGTTGTTGGAAAATCACAAGCTGCAACGAGATCTGAACAACATCATTTCCTTTTTTTTTTTTGACATCATTTCTGTAATAATATGTTTAATAATATGGATATGTATATATGTAATAAAAGCCTAAAAAATATGCATGTGAATGAGAAATACAAAATTCAGAATGTGGTGGTGTGGGGCAGGGTGCACCAAGGGGGACACACAGGGATTTCAGTTATGTCTGTGGTGTTTTGTAGCTTAAACTCTATGGTAATATTATTATCCACATGTTGGGGTATACCTGAACTGTTTCCTAATAAAAACCTCTATTAACGACCTAGCAAGGCCTGAAACCTCAGGCAAACCCGCATGGTGTTTTCTCTAACAGAGACCATGCTTGGACGGGACATCTGTTTGGGAGACAGAGGAGCCAGTAACCCCAGTTGGAACATAGTAACTAGATGTGCAGTGCCCAGGGTTCCATGGTCTGGTGACTAGAGCACCTGGGGATAGTGCCTGAGTCCTCAGGGCTCATGGCTGATGCTGTGAGATCACAGGGATGGCAAAGAGTGTAGATGTGATCTTCCAATAGGTAATGGTGTCCTGCAATGCTGTGTGGAGGAGTTCACAGCTGCTGTGTCCGAGCTTCTTAGGAAAGAGCCCTGCAGGTGAGTGGCAGCATCTGCCATACCACGATTGATTAGTGATGTCTGTCCTGAGCAGGGCATGGAGAGTGACCACCGGCTTGCTCTGCCTAGAATTGGGCAGGCAACTGCTCTGGGCTTTAGAATCAGACTTGACTCTGATACTTGGCACTTAAAGGTCGATGACCAGGAGCCTCAACGTTGTCACATGTACACTGTAGATGACAAAGAGACCGTACCCATTTTACAAAGTTGTTTTGAAGATGGAAAAGAATGAGCTGGGCAGCCCCGGTGGCTCAGCGGTTTAGCGCCACCTTCAGCCCAGGGAGTGATCCTGGAGACTCAGGATCGAGTCCCATGTCGGGTTCCCTGCATGGAGCCTGCTTCTCCCTCTGCCCGTGTCTCTGCCTCTGTCTCTTTCTGTGTCTCTCATGAATAAATAAATAAAATCTTAAAAAAAAAAAGAATGAGCTAAGAAGCACTTTGTATATTGTAAAGTGCTTCCCCCTAGAATCCATTCCCAGTAGTGAGATTTGTGGGAACACAGGATTAACGAAGGCTCATCATTTTAAATGCCCAGGTGGGTGGATTTGGCATAACAGTTGGGCCTGGCCCTCCTTGCTTGAAAGGAGCCTGGGAGCAGAGACTACAGTGGAGCACCCCCATTCAGTGGGCTGCCTCGATTTCTCTGGATGATTTTTGTTTCTCGGAAACCAAGAGGGCCAGGTCATCTTGCCTGAGGCAGGCACCTATGGGACTCATTAAACCAGTCCATGAGCTCCACAGGGAAGGATCTGGAGAAGCCACACACAGGATACAACCAAGAAAAAAAGAATCTGTGTGGCAGGGGGCCAGTGGCTAGGGCCCAATTATTCTCCACCTCAGCCCCCAGCCCCAGGCTTGGACCTCCCGTCTTTTCCTCTGCAGACTCTAGCTTTGGGTGGAAAGGACACAGTCAGCAAGTGTGCCTGTGGCCCCTCTCAGGAGGCTACAGCCCTGGAGGAAGTCTGGAGGAGGCAGCGTTTATGGCTTGCTCTCCCTGAGGAGTGGCAGGGATGAGGGACACGGGATGGGTAATGTTTAACCATGAATGGCTGTGCATGGCTTCCCCAAGGGGTGGACGGCCTCCCATGTTGGCAGGGCAGGCTTCGGGGTCATGCGGTCCAACCTCTTACTTAGAAGGTGATGAGACTAATGCCTGGAGAGACTAATGCCAGGTGGCCTGGAGGGAGGCGGCAGGGCTGGAGGGAGGACACACCTCTCTTGTCCACAGGCAGTGAGGAAGGGCCTGATCCTCCAGTTTATTTTTTTTATTATTTTTATTTTTTAAGATTTTATTTATTCATGAGAAACCTACAGAGAGAGGCAGAGCCATAGGCAAAGGGAGAAGCAGGCTTCCTGCAGGGAGCCCAATGCAGAACTCGATCCCAGGACCCAGGGATCATGACCTGAGCCGAAGGCAGATGCTCAATCACTGAGCCACCCAGGTGCTCCTGATCATCCAGTTTAAAGCCAGCAGCCCCCAAGGGTGAAGGCTGGGAGGCCTCCCTAAACCAGAGTTACAGAGTGAGCTCTTGGGCAACAAAGTCATTACCCTTCTTACCCTCTGAAGTATCCCCAGGGTCTCAAACACTGCCTCTGCATAATAGGTGTTCAGCTAATGAATAAATGAATACAAGTCCTGCAGACAGCTTGCCAGAAACCCCAAAAGCCTTCTTGATGAGTAAAGAAATTTCTGAATTACTCATTCCTACTGGGCCTGCCCTGGCTTCCTGGGGTGGGGGGGAACTCTCCTTGACCAACCTCCTTATTTTACTGGTGAGGAAACTGAGGCACAGTGAGGAGGCAGTCACACAGCTGGTTTGGGAGAAGCCCCATCCCAGTTCCTTTCCACACCTTCCAGGTTTGGAGAGATGCTGGGGATCTCCAGATGTCCAGGAATGAGGATTCTCTTTCTAGGTCTCCCCACCCTGTGTACCCCTTATTTGAGGCTTGGTGTTCTCAGGGGAGCTTCAGCTGGTAGATAGCAGAGAAAGAGGCCAAGAGGCTGCTGGTGGGACTGAGGCTATCGACTTCCCACTTGCAACTTAAGAGCTAAACCTCAGCTGGTACAAGCCCACAACCCACCGGGGTGTAAGACACACACCCAGCAGGTCAGCTGGCAGGGTGGGACAGGGAGTCTATGGCCGCAGAGGGCACTTCCTACTGGGGAGATCTTTCCACTGAAGAAACTCTTTAGCAAGGACATCAGAGGATGGACAGGCTCCATCCTGGGACCTGGAACTTGATCTCGGGCAAGTCATTTAACTCTTCATGCCCCTCTGTCAAATGGGCATAATAATATAAGGATTTGATGAAGTAATAGTTGCAAAGGGCTAGAACAGTGCCCGGCAACAGAGAGTCACATAAACATCTGTTAAACTTCTAACAAAGGCACTCAATAAATATTTGATAAATTTTTGTTCACCCAACCAAAGGCTTGTATTTTATTTCATTATTATTTAAGAAAAAAATGGTGGAGTACATGATGGATGACTTTTTTTTTCCAATATAATATATTTTTAGTGGGAAAAAAGTGTTGGTGCCCATGTGTAAGCAGAAGCACTTAATATTTGATGAAAATTGCTCAAAATTTCTCATGCTTATAAAGGAGTATCATCAATAGGAGAATTCTTGGTTTTCTAAATGATCTAAACTCAAGCTTAAGTTACTGACAGACAAGTCTAGAGTGTACCAGCTTCATGCACAGCTGGATCACAATGCCCAAACAATTTCCTCAAGAGCCAGTGTCTCATCCTCACTGTTCTAGTAAGATGACCATGAGGAGAGTGCATCCCTCCACCTCTGCCACTTTCCCAACAAAGGGCCAGAACTTGGTTTGGCTTAAATCATGTAGCTATTCCTGATCAGTTACTGTGGCCAGGAGATAAAGTAAGATAGGCAAGGCTGGGGTCCCTGGCCCATCCTGGAGCCTAGGAGGAAGGGTCAGCCCTAGGGACTAGGGGTGAGGGAAGGGCAACCCCCAAAGGCTGTTGGCAGGAGAAGAGGGAATGGATACTGGGCTGATGCCACCACCTTGGCTCAAATTCGGATATGAGGAAGCTGCTACTAGCAGTATATCCCTTTGCAGAGTCGCATCCCCAGGTGGGATGGACTCAATGCCCCCATGTGTCTCTGACACCGACCCTACACCCTCTTTCCATTGTTTCATGGGGACCCATGGGTGAGAAAGCAGAGGCTGAGCAAGGGGAAGACTCCAGATGAAATGAATGCTGTGCAGGGATTAGGGCCGTGACATTGTGGGGACTCCCCAGGGCAGAGGGAGGAAAGGACTGACTTTCATTTCAGCACAGTACCCTGTGAGTGCTCCACAAGCTGCAATCTGCAAATATCCAGGCTTCCCAGGAACCAGGTGACTTCCCCAGGGTTCTGTGATGCTGTCACTGATCGGTTGTTAGTAGGAGCTGCTATATGTGTCCATCCTTCGTCCTGCCGGGCCCTCGGCTGCCCCCAAAGCTTTGTGCTGCTGATTCTCGGCTATTCCTTTCACATACACATCTTTCCAGGAAACTGATTCAAACTTTTGGAAGTGATCAGGGAGTATAAATAATAAACAACTGAGTGCTAGAGTCTAGAGTCAGCAAGCCGCCCAGGGTTCTGCAGGATGTGACTCTGGTGACCACAGCTCCTGGGTTTTCCAGGTGGTCCTAGTCCCAGGCAGTCTAAGGTTCAAATCCCTTCACTGCCACTTCCAGCTGTGCGACCTTAGACATGGCCCATGGTTTCTTTGGGTCTCAGTTTCCTTGTCTGTAAAATGAGGATAATACCCTCTTTTGCCAGAGCAGTCTCGATGAAACCACATATGGAAAGCAGTCACCCACTGGGTGGCTCAGTGGGTTGAGTGTCCAACTCATGGTTTCGGCTCAGGTCGTGATCTTGGGATCATGGGATCAAGCCCCACATCAGGCTCTGTGCTCAGAGAGGAGTCTGCTGGAAATTCTCTCTCTCTCTGCCCTTCCCCCAACACCCCCCCCACACTCTTTCTCTCTCTCAAAATAAATAAAAATAAAATATTTTTTAAAAAGAAAGAGAGAGGGATCCCTGGGTGGCGCAGCGGTTTGGCGCCTGCCTTTGGCCCAGGGCGTGATCCTGGAGAACCGGGATTGAATCCCACGTCGGGCTCCCGGTGCATGCAGCCTGCTTCTCCCTCTGCCTGTGTCTCTGCCTCTCTCTCTCTGTGTGTGTGTAACTATCATAAATAAATAAAAATTTAAAAAATTAAAAAAATTAAAAATAAAAAGAAAGAGAGAAAGCAGCCATCAGCAAGTTCCCTCTTGGCCCAGTGTCCCTGGCTGGCTCTCCCTTGTGATGTTACCACTCCACTGTCCACTGCAGATGGCAGAGAAGCCCAGGCTGGGTACCCTGCTAAGATCCTAGATACTGGAGA